GTAAAATCTTTTTAAGCCGCAAGCAAAGAATTTTCGAAATTATCTTATAACTCACATTACAAAGACTTATTGGCCTAAACTCAGCCATCCTTTGAGGCCTATCGGTTTTTGGAATCAAACAAATGTTTGTTTCATTAATTCTCTTATCAAAACAACCTGTTCGGAAAAAATCTCTAACCAAACCAACCAAATCTGCCTTTAAAGAATGCCAAAATCTTTGATAAAACAAAGCCGTCATACCATCTAGGCCTGGTGTCTTTTCAGGGTGCATAGAAAATAAAGCTTTCCGAACTTCAGTTTCTGTAACCTCTTTGGTTAGCTCCCTATTCATATTTTCAGTAATAATCGGGGACACTTCTTGTATCATCTCAGCAATTCCATCTATATTAGAAACCTTAAAGAGATCTTTAAAGTAATTAGTTGCGATCTCCACCATTCCTGATTCTGATTCCTCCCAAACATTATTTGGACCATATAAACCTGATATCTTATTTCTTGCCCCTTTTTTTTTTAGATGCATGAAAGAATTTGGTATTTTTATCCCCACTTTTAACCAAAAATTCCTACTTTTTTGTTTCCAGTAAATCTCCTCCTCATGGTAGGCTTCTTTTAATTTATTTTCGATTCTTTTTATTTCCTCTTGCGGAATAGAATCATCATTCTTCGCTTCTTCCAAAGCCAACTTCAGGGAAGAAATATTTGCCTGGCCCGTCGGAATATTATTTTTCCTCCACCATGAAATGGAATTTCTACAATTTTTAATTTTATCCACAAAAACAGGAACTCTAAATTTTTTGTTTGATTCAAACCTGAATCGATGGCCTTAGTGAGGCCATCCTTCCCAACCCATCTCTTATCAAATCGAAATTGTCGTTCTCTTCTTACCAAAGATTTTTCACACCTCAATAGAATTGGTCTGTGATCAGAACCAATCATGTCCAGGTATTCTACTTTTGAATACGGAAATAAATTATGCCAGTCCTCATTTCCCAAAGCCCGATCTAGTCTGCATCTTACAATTTGTTGGTTTCTATTTCCTCTCCATGATAGTTGTTCACCATAGCACGGGAATTCTAACATACCATTATGTCGAATCATTAGATTAAAAGAAACAAAAGAAGCAGCTGATCTTAAATTACCATCTGTCTTTTCATGGTTTCCCGTCAACTCATTAATATCTCCAATCATTAGCCATGGTTTTTTCCGATTGAGACCCAATTGTGATATATGTACTCTTATCATCTGTAAATTAGACTAATGTTATGTAACTCTTTGATATATATAATATTTCGTACATATATAAAATATGCAGGTTAAAAAAACATTTTTTTTTTTATAATGTTTGGGACAATCTTTAACCCAACATTTGGAAAAAAGGAAACTAAATAGTAACTTCCATTGAAATAATTTTACTTATAAATAAGAAAAAAAAAAAGAAAAAAAAAAGGAAACTTTACTTTTACCATTAGTAAATAGTAACACAGTAAAACCATCAAAATCCTATTAGAAAAAGAAATTACTTTTTCCATCCTCTATAAATACTCGGCTTTGGGTAACACATCAACGAATCGACCCTGAAAACAATTTACGAAGAAGAAAGAAACCCTAAAAAGATGTTAATGGAGGAAGAGACTTGCTTGGACTGCAAGAGACCGACCATAACGGTGATTGATCATAGTAGCGGCGACACCATCTGCTCAGAGTGTGGCCTTGTCCTCGAAGCTCACATCATCGAATACTCTGAGGAATGGAGAACTTTCGCCTCCGACGACAATCGCAGTGACCGAGACCCAAACCGTGTTGGTGCTCCAACGAACCCTCTTCTCAAATCCGGCAATCTCGTTACCGTCATCGAGAAACCTAAAGAAAACGTTTCCTCTGTTGTGTCCAAAGATGACATCTCCACTTTGTGCCGTACACAGAATCAAGTCAAGAATCATGAAGAAGATCTAATCAAGAAAGCTTTCGAGGAAATACAGAGAATGACTGATGCACTATACCTAAATATCGCTGTAAACTCTAGGGCTTGTGAGATTGTCTCCAAATTCGGTGGTCACGCTAACACGAAATTACGCAGAGGGAAGAAGCTATACGCTGTTTGTGCAGCCTCTGTTTCAATGGCTTGTCGTGAACTGAAACTGTCGAGGACATTGAAAGAGATCGCTATGGTTGCCAACGGTGTTGAATTGAAGGATATCCGCAAATCGAGTATGGTGATAAAGCGTGTTCTTGAATCAGATCAAGCCTCCGTGTCTGCTGCTCAAGCGATTATCAACACCGGAGAACTCGTTCGCCGGTTCTGTTCCAAACTTGATATAAGTCAAAGAGAGATAATGGCGATTCGAGAAGCTGTCGAAAAAGCTGAGAATTTCGATATCCGAAGAAACCCTAAGTCAGTTCTTGCGGCAATTATCTTCATGATCTCTCATATATCTCAGACCAACAGGAGACCTATTCGAGGTAACTGAATAATTCTTCTTTTCTTAATTCTGTATTTGGATTTAACTTCCGCTACAAGTTAGGGCGTACTATCTCTTTTAGTTGTTAAATCTAAGTACTTGTGCTGATGATTGTTGGTTTTGCAGAAATTGGGATCGTTGCGGAAGTAGTGGAGAATACAATCAAGAACTCGGTTAAAGATATGTACCCTTACGCCTTGAAGATTATACCTAACTGGTATGCTTGTGAAGCAGAGATTATCAAGAGGTTAGATGGTGTCATAACTTCTTGGGATTCAGCAAAAAATTCAGTATAAGGAAGTCACTACCTGAGAGAGAAGCTTTGGGATTGTTGAGCGATGTTCTGATTTAAAATTGTTGTGTAGTCTCTTTTCTGATGCATTACATTCATCTATGTTTAGAAGTTTGCTTTATGGAAGTATATTTTAGACTTGTGCTTATGTAAAATCTCCTTTATGATGTACTGTATCTTTGGAATAGATCATCAAATAAAAATCAGAGTAACAATGTGGAAAAACAAAAACAAAATTAGAGCTTAGGTCTTTCATAGTCATAACCCGTCCCAATATGCCAATAGATTGTGTATCCCAGTGAGATATTTCATGTTATTAGGATTTGTTTTTGAGCCTAAAGACTAAATGATCACATATCAAGTCCAAACATATACGTACAAGTTTTGGAAAGCTTTTGAACAATATAGGAAAGATATATCTAGTTATTCAAATTATGCTATACAATGGTAGAAAGATACTAAGGTCATTTGATACAAAGCTTAACATCGGTTAAGGATATGTACCCTTACGCCTTGAAGATTGTATGTTAGGAGGTATTATACATTCTTGGGATTCTGCAAAACTTAGAGTATAAAGAAGCCTCTACTAGAGTTTAGATTCTCCCTAAGCTGTTCTATGTTTGTAGATTGTGTTTCGAATGAGAAAGTATCATGTCTGCACTATTAAAACTAGGCCTGGGCAAAAAAACGTACCCGAGTACCCGAACCGAAACCGACCCGAAAAAACCGGTTTGGGGCGGGTACGGGTATTAGCTATTTACCCTATTGGGTCTTGTATTGCCGTACCCGTGGGTATAGGGTAAAACCCGATCCGAACCCGATACCCGAACGGGTACCCGATTACCCGAAATTACATATACTTATACATATAAAACTTTTTATATATGTAATATTTGAATTAAATACATTTATATCTAAATATCCGAGAATAGTTACCAAAAATTAAATGCACTTATATTTAAATATTTAAGACAAAATATATTTATACGCGAGATGCTTGTAAATTTTTTAAATATTTGGACAAAATTCCGGTTATTCGGATAAATTTTCGGGTGAAACTCGGATATTAGAGTAAAATTGCGGATAAAATTCGGATATTAGGATAAAATTTCGGATAAATTTTGGGTATTTGGGTATAAAATACCCGAACCCGATGGGTACCCGATTTTTTTGGGTATTTAGCGGTTCTAAAAATCTAAACCCGAACCGACCCGAACCCGATTAGATCCGAACCGAAACCGAACCGATATTTTAGATTTACCCTATTGGGTCCTAAACTCCTCTACCCGAAAGACCCGTACCCGATCGGGTTTTACCCGAACCCGACCCGCATACCCGAATGCCCAGCCCTAATTAAAACGTATCAAGAAACAGATCTCGATGATTGATATCCCTCTTCTTGAATATATGAATTTTGGTGATTTAGTTGGTGTTTAGAGATCTTTTTGTATGTTTTTCTTCCAAATATATTTTCACGATTATCCATGGAAATGAATGATACTTTAATTTGTTACTATTTGACATGAAAATTTTGATGGAGATTCAGTTAATTAATGTTTGATTACTTTTATAAGTTTTGTTTCGTTTCATTCGCATATATAGCACTTGTTTCTGCGTGGATCCTCTGTTTTATAGTGGCTCATTCAGTCATCTATTTCTTTTGGTGTGAAAGCAACAACAAGATCTTCAAAAGCAAGCGCCTCCTAGATAAAGAACTCTTCAAGATTGTTGATAGGGTCATTTGCAATACTTACTCCATTAGACGCGACCATCCACAAGTCTAGGATACCTCTCATATCATGGTTCCAAGAAACTACTTCCCCAAAAGTCTAACTCTATTTTCTAAAATCTATCGTCCATTAGACTTTTCGAGCCTATCTTCAATGACTAGAAAGACGAGTGAGAGATGGGTTTGGAACAGGATGGAACAGTATCATAAGCCAAAATGCACTTAAAATGCAAAAAACTGGTCTCCAATTTGGCACTGTGAGGGATGTTTTGGTGACCAGTGTTCATTCTCCTCAAAAGCTATTCGAAAGGACAAGGTAATGATGAGGATGTGGACATAGATCAAAGGTTTGGCGATGACATAGCACCAAACCTTTGAATTTATATTTGTTTGGACTTTATCTTCGCTTAGCTCTTACGACAAAAATCTAGACACAATTCTCAGAGTATTAAATGCAGATCTCGCATCCACAATAACCATGGCTGTTTCTAACATAGTATAAATGTTACCAAACCAACAATTTGAAAAACGATTAAGAAATTAGTTATATTAGTAAGAATACACCAAACATTCCAAGGGTTTAGATTACTTAGTTTAGATTTACAAAATGAGAAACACCGACTGACAAGAGAACTTGAGAGTTTTATTTACGGTGTTTCAGATTCGTTTTCCGTTTGAGAGTTTTGATCTCACAGGTCATGTGAGCAATCGCTTCTCTCAATGTAGCTGTTCTTCCTTGTACGGAATTCCACAGTGCTAGGACTGTATGCCGGCCACTTGGATTAAACTCGTTAACTTCTTCGAGAGCCGTCTTGACTGCGTTTGTCACCTCTTCTCCCCACTCTTCTCTGAGATTCTTAAGTTTCTCATCTTCTTCATCCACCACTTCCTGCATAAGATCACCATTCACCAGAAACAAGACTAATCAAACGGGACAGAGAGAGAGAGAGAGACAGTGGGAAAGAATCTCAATGACAAAGATATCAAACCTTCACTCTGTTTCCGGTCTCCACCCATTTGAATGGTTGCCAATGTGGATCCCTGAGGTTTTCTTCCCATTTCGTGTAAAGCTCAATGTTTTCGCCAGTTAATCTCCGCTTACTTGCTTTTACGAAGGGCTCTACATCAAGATCTCCCATCCTCTTTACTTTGATCTTCGATCCATCATCCGTTAAATCTCTCAGTTCCTGCAGAAAAACAGAGAGTTGTTAAAGCCGCAAAGCAAAATAGCACTCAAGAACACGAGTATATACTTATCATTTCTTTACATACACTGATCAATAGTTTGCGTGCTTCTTGTATCTCATCATTGCTATAGCGTTCTTTCACCGAGAGGGCACTAATCATAGCCTCTCGTTGTTCTAAGTCAGAATCCTTATCCTCTAGGTCCTCCTCCATCTCCTTCAATCTTTTTTTGAGCTCTTCATTTTCCTGTTTCAGGGATCTCCATGAAGGCTCTTGTAACTCAGTATCCGCCTCCACGACAATAACCAGCAGATAGAGCTCCAATCGCTGTGCCACTACTCGAAGCGACACCAAGAGATGTCACTGTTGTATTAGCAGAACTGGTAGCATAAGCAGTGGTTGAAGTAGAAGATGGGAGACCTGAACAACAGTACACTTCTTTCAGAAGAAAACCCGATAGCTAGTGATCCGTAAAACAACGAGTAAGGTAAAGGAGCCACATCAATCATATCTTTAAGAGAGCTATGGATTCATGTCATACACTATACGCAGAGATAATGCAAACCAAAGCATCAAATTATATTATCTCTAATTCTAATCAATAACTTGCATCAGAGCAAAAGAGATAGACAAAAATCACAAGCAAATCCAATCCTGAGAAAAAACTTACTGGACGGTGACGAACCGGTGGTTCCTTTTCGACACATCATTTTTTTGTATTGGTTAATGATTGGATCCTTTTCTCTCATCATATTGTATAATTTTTTTATTTTTTTTGGAGTATAGATTTAACTAGATATATAGAAACAATTTGAACCAAATCTTTAATTATAAGTCCCACCAAGGACATTTAGCCATGTCATATGGTTTCTCCCTAGATTAAACTAGTCATTTTTCGGTTAACGCTAAAACAATTTTGTAATTTTACTATGGTCATGTATGCAAACAGAACTCGATTATAAACATGGGATTTTCCACGTAGGAAACTCTACTCAACTGGCTCCAAAGATCAAAACTAGAACAAACTTGTGTAACCCCCTCTGTTTTGTTGTGGCTCATGCAATCATTGGTTTTTCTCGAAATTAAATCTCACTTTATTCAAAACAGCGGATGTAAAACGTTATTTTTTCTTTTGAATTTGATTTAACATTTTATTCAAAATAAACAACCTGATTTTGAAACATAAGCGCTTCCTAGTTCCTACTAGTTCAGAATCTTTTCAAAATTGTCGATAAGGTTATTCGTAAGATTCGTTCCGCGAGACATGACCGTCCCCAATTCTAAAGATACTCTCATGTTGTGGTTCCAAGGAACTACTTCCTCGCAAGTCTAACATGTTAAAAACCCGGTTCTATTGTTGTTGTTTCACAACTAATCCGATACTGCAAAACATATAGACTACGTGTCACGTGTGACTAGAACTCTAGAAATCTAGAACATAGAAAAGAAGGTTATTTATCAATAATCAATACTTTTCTTTAGTCATAGACATCGACCACCTAAGAACATTCTGAATCACAAAATAATAATTATAACAAAAGAAAAAGCTGAAATAATTTAAAATTAAAAAAAATATATTGAAAATATAAATGAACATTATAAAACAACATCTAGCTTCTGATCAGAGGTGTTGTCGTAAATCTCAATCAGTTTCTTCAACACCATGACTTGTGTTCTTAGCCTGACTATATAATCCGCCGTCTCTTTAAACAGCTCATCCGTCTCTCCACCGCTGACATTCGCCGGCGGAGGAAGAAGGCTCTTTAACGCTAGGAGCTTCTCCGTTACCTTCTTCCCTCCGTCCCTACTACCATTTCCGCAGCACGTACGTAAAACCCGCGTAGTTGACGACACATGTGCTCTTCTACTTCTGATGAGCTTGTCGCAGCTTCTTCTTCCTCTTGTGGTCTGAGTCTTTGAGGTTCTCATCTTGTCCAAGAAAATGAGAGAGTGAGAAGAGAGATGATGGTGATGAAGATGGCCAAGAAAGAGAACGGTGTTTGGAGGTTTTAAGTACGATCCATGTTACCAAACAGCCACCAAAGTTTAGTGTTATTACGAGAGTATCACTGCAAGCATGCTCTCTTTCTTTGCTATTGCTATTTCAATTTGGGGGTATATCCGTAATTTAAAATGATATCTTACTGTCATTGTGTCATTGTGTCGTAGGCTTATTTGGCAAATATATTACATGCAATATCAGAAGCATGAGTTGGCTTTTTCTTTTCTTCATTGCGAACAGAAAAAAAAAAAACACACGGTAATAACTATTTGGTAAAACCATGTAGGCCAAATATATAATGTACAATATGCTAAACGTTATTAGGCCATAAAATAAAAGAGTCTAATGTCTAACCATGTACGTGACTACGAGAGCAATTAGACAAAGTAAGTGGACAAGATTCTTAAGCAAATCTTTTGATTACCAACAGTACTAACGACTGTCCAAATGTAAACTTTAGAGCTTGTTATATATTGATTTTGATGTCCTTTTTGTTATTTTTATTAAAAATGTCATGGATTATCCTAAAAGAAGATGGTTTGGAAAATCCATGCATGTGCAGTGTGTAGAGACTGTGTAGTAAACCAATCGTGGGTTGGGCTAGTGGTACTTGAGGGGGTAATCCTAATATGGTGCCCGCAATTCGATTTCCGTTGGCCACCGAGGTTTTCACCTTGCCCCCTCAGGCCTCCAGGAAACATACTGAGCGTTGGGCTCGGACGGCCCAACAGGGAACCGGCCTCAAGCCTTGGTGCTAGTAGGGCTTCGATCCAGATACCTGGATTATAAAAAAAAAAAAAAAAAAAGAGACTGTGTAGTACGGATCTCTTTAGAGGGACATGTGGGAGAAGATGTATATCAATAATTTGGACAAAGAAATTGAAATTAGAAAAGTGGGAAGTGCGTGAAGAGTGCTAAAGTATCGGTAACAGCTTATGGGGGCCTTCTGTTACAGGCACATGCATGCCAAAGATTTTTTTGTTGTTAAGCATTTCTATTTTTTCCGTAAGGTTATGGTTCTTGTATTTTTATATATTTATTTTGATTTGTGTTTTTTTTTAGCTTTTTAACTTTCGTCTGTTTAAAAAAGATTTAGCTAATATTATAATACAAATTAGTTTGCTACAATTATAACGTATATCTCATTTGAGAAGAACTTTTTTGCCTGCTATTTTTTTTATTGAACATATTTAACAACTACATGCATTTTTAGGTTAAACCAGCTTAATGATGTTATATTTAATTGATTCGCCCATTCGGGTTGAATGTAAATTACATGACGGAATGAAATTTTGTAGATTTAGGATGGAATCTGGTATGTGATTCCGTGCGAAAAATCAAAGTTATGGATAATTAGAAATTCGCAATAATTAATCTTAAAACTTATGGTCACCATGTCAACTTACTTTGGCCAAAGGTGGATATTACGTACCTCTCTACAACACAACAAAGTTATTATATTCTCTTTAATCCCCACATCAAATGTATCAATAATAATAAAAATTGCATAGATACTACAAATAGCTTGAGATGACCCTACTAGATTCCAATATTCAATTACATTGAATCATGACAAAACAAATTAAACTTTATCTCTAACCCTATTGAAGTAAATTAAGCGTTTTGGTGAAGAGCCGTGGAAGGTTAACTATATTGGTAAAATTTAGAGTAAGAGTTGGGATGTAATGGAAAGAATTGAAATAGGTGGACAAAGAGGTGCATCGAAGGATGTGTGGTGTCCGTAGATTAGGTTGTGCATGTGAAGATGTTATGGGTCACCTAAAACCTCATTGGACAACAAAGAAACTTGTAATAAATAAACCGAGAAGTAAACCGGAAACCGGTTTATTAAAAAGGATAAGAGAGCATGTGACTGCACATGGGAGAAGTGGAAGGGTAAGGAGACAGAGAAGCAAGCATATGAAAAAGTACAGAGCATGTTCTCCACATTCCCTGCATACTCTTCTATCTTCTTCTCTCCATGCACACAATTTAACTCCTCTTTTAAATTAATTAACAACATCACAAAGATGGTGTTTTTGTTAATTTTGATTATTATTATTTTTTTTTAAAGGGTTTGATAATTTTGATTTGTTGCACATGGTTTTATCATCTAATTTTCAGGTTATTATTAATAGGCATGTGTGACATTTATATGTAGCTGTTGGCCCACGTGATTGATTATGGGTTCGCTTTATTTATTTATTTCTATAAAATCTTACATCCTACATCTCATGTTATTCATAAAAAATTGAACAAAAAAATTGAAACTATAATATAATCTTATCTTTGTAATGTTTGCGTAATGTATATATATCTCATATTTCTTTCTAATAAGCAAACGAAAAAAATACTAATAATTGGATGATATTCTTAGCTGAAAGCATTATTGTCACAGGTTTGTAGAAGTTCAGTATTCCAAGACGAGACTTGTGTTTCGTGTAAGGATAATATGTTGCTGCAGAATGTACACGAAGCTGAGTAAACAGGAAGTGTACAAGAGCTGGGTATATGTGCCACAAAAATAACGTCCGTAACACAGAACCTTCATAATGTTTAAAGTGTCCAGTGGAATAGGAAACAGTTGTGTACTGTAACATAAGAAAGACTCAAGATAAAGAACATACACAAGACATGTTCGACACATGAACGGTGGTGTGTGACACAAGATCGTGTGTGTGACATGAGCTCTTACACAAAAGTAGATACAGACTACAACATAGACGAGTGTGTGTATGACACAAATGTCTGTTGTGACACGAGACCTGCTGTTGGAGAATTGATGCCTTAAGAAGATCCAATAAAAAAGAAAATATCATGTGGGATTTGAGATCATTAGAAAAGCCACGTCCCACGTGGACCTGTTGTAAATAGAAGCCCAAGCTTGAGGAGCTTAGGGTTCTTGCTCCTGAAGAGCATATAAATAGAACGCAGCCGTGAACGCATCCGTCTAGGGTATTGTTGATAAAAAGGCACATATGCGTGTATGTCGCCCCACCAAATAAGATAAAGATCTATTGGTGGTATTTCTTTGGAGACCGCATCCGTCAGATAAGACGGTGATGCACCGTTGCTATACAGGGTAGTTGTCAAGCATGTTGAATTATAATCAAAATCTCGTATAAGTTAGTTATATTCACATTAGTTAGTTACTTGATCAAGAGGCACAAATACTCTGTTTTAAGGTTGTGTCTTTTAGATTAAGAGTTGTGTTCTTTCATTTACACATCACATCTGTTCGGTTTGTTTAAATATTCTAGATCGTGTGATTGTTAAAAATGTTACTTGAGTTGTAATACTTTTTCTAGTTATCAATAAAGATCAAGTTACAACCATTGTTCTTACTCTGTTTTCTCATTCCTTCAAAACACCAATGGTATCAGAGCTTATCGATTGAGAGGACAAAGAGAGAAAGCACAAACAATCACAGCAAGAAAAAGGCAAAAGTTTTTCGTATACGTTTTGCAAAATAAGCCGAAACGATGCAAGGCTCTTCACATCAAGTGATTCCTATATTCGATGGGGAGAAGTACGACTTCTGGAGCATTAAGATGACAACCATTCTCAAGACCAGAAAACTATGGTCTGTGGTTGAAGAAGGAGTGCCAGCCGAACCAGCACAAGGAGAAGAAACTCCCGAGACAGCGGCGGCAAAAGCAAAAAGAGAAGAGGCAATGGCTAGTGATACGATGGCTTTGCAAATCTTGCAAACCGCCGTAACTGATCAAATCTTCTCACGAATAGCAGCAGCAGGAACTTCTAAAGAGGCATGGGAGGCATTGAAAACTGAATATGAAGGATCCTCGCAAGTACGGTTGATCAAACTTCAAGCGTTGCGTAGAGAGTACGAGAATCTGAAGATGTATGATGGAGAAAACATCAAATCATTCACCGATAAGTTAGTTGTCTTGGAAAATCAATTAACTTATCATGGAGAAAAGAAAACAAATTCTCAAGTTGTTCAGAAGATACTCATTTCTCTCCCAGCCAAGTTCGATAGCATTGTCAGCGTTTTGGAACAACTCGCGACTTGGATTCATTAACAATGACAGAGCTAATCGGTATTTTGAAAGCACATGAAGCAAGGTTATCTGCAAGAGATGAAAGCACAAATGAGGGAGCATTCAATGCTCACACAAAAGCAAAAGAAACCGGTTCCAAACAAGACAACACTAGAAGCCGTGAGAATCAAGGCAAGAGGTGGTGTGAGTTTTGCAAAAGAAGCAGCCACACCAACGAAGAGTGTTGGAGGAAACCGAAGGAGAACGATCAAGGCAAGAATAAGAAGAGTAACATTAAGTGTTACAATTGTGGTAGGATCGGCCACTACTCAAACAAGTGTCGCTCAAGGAAAAAAGAGAGGGCACATGTGAGTCTCGAAGAAGAAGACTCAAGTGATGAAGATCACATGTTGTTTAGCGCAAGTGAAGTCAACGAAGCAACAACAAAAGAAGATGTTTGGTTAGTAGACAGTGGATGCACTAATCATATGACTAAGGAGGAGGGATACTTCTCTAAAATTGACAAGAATGTCAAGGTTACGATCAAAGTCGGTAATGGAGAAATAGTCATGACTGCCGGTAAAGGAGATATTACCATCATGACAAACAATGGCAAGAAGATCATTCGAAACGTGTTCTTGGTGCCCGGCTTGGAGAAAAATTTGTTGAGTGTTCCTCAAATCATTTCAAGCGGTTATCGAGTGAGTTTTGAAGACAAGAGATGCATCATACTTGATGCAAAAGGCAAGAGGATGATGGAGATTCCAATGACTCACAAAAGTTTCAGAATCAAGATGAAAACGGTTCAAGAAGAAGCTATGAATGCAAGTGAGCAAGAGAAAGTGGAGACATGGCACAAAAGGCTTGGTCATGTAGGCAACAAACGTTTGCAGCAAATGCAAGACAAAGACTTGGTAAAGGGGTTACCAAAGTTTAAAGTCAACAAAGAAGTATGTGACGCGTGTAATCTTGGAAAGCAATCAAGAAAAAGCTTTCCAAAAGAATCTCAAACAAAAACAGAAGAGAAGCTTGAGATTGTGCATACGGATGTATGTGGACCTATGCAACACCAATCACTCGATGGAAGCCGTTACTTTCTGTTGTTTTTGGATGATTATACTCACATGTGTTGGGTATACTTTCTAAAACAAAAATCAGAAACATTCTTAACGTTCAAGAAGTTCAAAGCCATGATAGAAAAGCAATCTGGTTGCGTTATCAAGACGTTAAGATCAGACGGTGGTGGTGAATTCACTTCACAAGAATTCAATAAGTTTTGTGAAGAAGAAGGAATCAATAGGCAAGTTACTTTGCCTTACTCGCCACAACAAAATGGTGTAGCAGAAAGGAAGAATAGATCCTTGATGGAGATGGCAAGATCAATGATTGTTGAACAAGGTTTACCGGTTAAGTTGTGGGCAGAAGCGGTGTATACCTCGGCTTACATTCAAAACCGTCTTCCATCAAAGGCTATTGAAGATGATATGACGCCTATAGAGAAGTGGTGTGGACACAAACCAAACGTGTCACACTTGAGGATATTTGGTAGCATATGCTATGTGCATATAGCAGATCAAAAGAGAAGAAAGCTAGACGCTAAGGCAAAGCGTGGAATCTTCATTGGTTATAGCAATCAGTCAAAAGGCTATAGAGTGTTTATCTTGGAGAATGAGAAGGTTGAAGTATCAAGAGATGTTGAGTTTGATGAAAACAAGAAGTGGGATTGGAACAAGCAAGAGGAAGTAAAGAAGATCTTTGTTCTACCCATCAATGATCCACAAACATCACAAGATCAAAACGGAAACACCACTAGTCCCGTTTTGGTTCAAGAAGATCATCATTATGAGGATATAAGTGATGAAAGAGAGACATCCGAAGAAGATATGGAGATGTTAACGGCCAAATTGGGATCTATACATGTTAGTGCACAAAGAGAGAGATCCGAAGCTCCAAGAAAATTCAAATCTATGCAAGAGATCATGAGTATAGCACCATAGGGTGGACATTGAGGAAGCGGCCGAAATCGTAGAAGTATGTCTTCTAGGGTATGAGGAACCACAAACTTACAACGAAGCATGTATTGAGAAAAAATGGAGACAGGCCATGAAAGAAGAGATCGACATGATTGAGAAAAACAAGACATGGAAACTAGTAGACAAGCCGGAGAACAAACGTGTTATAAGTGTGAAGTGGATCTACAAGATCAAAACGGATGCAAGTGGTAATACGATCAAACACAAGGCAAGACTAGTAGCAAGAGGTTTTTCTCAAGAATATGGAGTCGATTACCTTGAAACGTTTGCCCCGGTTTCAAGACATGATACAATAAGAGCCATCCTTGCGTATGCGGCTCAAATGAAATGGAGATTGTATCAAATGGATGTCAAATCAGCCTTTCTAAATGGAGAACTAAAAGAAGAAGTTTATGTCACACAACCACCTGGGTTTGTGATTGAAGGCAAAGAAGAAAAGGTGTTAAGGCTATACAAGGCTTTATATGGTTTAGACCAAGCGCCAAGGGCTTGGTATGGAAGGATAGATTCTTACTTCATTCAAAACGGTTTTGAGAGAAGTATGAATGATGCAGCCTTATACATCTTGAAAAAAGGAGAAGACGTGTTGATTGTTAGCTTATACGTCGATGATATCATCATCACAGGGAGCAACATCCATCTCATCAACACGTTCAAGGAGAACATGAAGAAAGAATTTGAGATGACTGATCTCGGGTTATTGAATTATTTTCTTGGTATGGAAATAATTCAAGGTGATCAAGGCATATTTCTTTCACAAGAAAAATATGCAAACAAACTTATTGACAAGTTTGGAATGGGAGAAAGCAAGAGCGTAAACACACCACTAGTACCACCGGGAAAGAAGATGGATGATGACAAAGAATATGGCGATCAAACTAAGTATAGGAGCATTGTTGGAGGACTCTTGTACCTATGTGCATCAAGACCTGACGTGATGTATGCAAGCTCTTATCTATCAAGGTTCATGTCATCACCACTAGTGAAGCATTACCAAGAAGCAAAAAGGGTGTTACGATATGTCAAAGGAACATTAAACTTTGGAATAAGTTTTACGAGTGTGGAGACACCAAGACTGATAGGCTACTCGGACAGCGATTGGGGCGGTTCTACAAAGGACATGAAAAGCACATCAGGTTATGTCTTTACTCTTGGATCGGGTATGTTTTGTTGGCAGTCAAACAAGCAACAAACCGTGGCTTTATCGACGGCGGAAGCAGAGTACATCGCCGTATGTGGTGCAGCAAACCAAGCTGTTTGGTTACAAAGGCTCTTGAAGGAGTTTGGTCTCAAGACTGAAGGGGGAGTTCCCATCTTGTGTGACAACAAGTCGGCAATAGCAATTGGAAAGAATCCGGTGCAGCATAGAAGAACAAAGCACATAGAGATCAAGTATCACTATGTAAGAGAAGCTGAACAAAAAGGGCTCATTCAACTAGAGTATTGCAAAGGAGAAGATCAACTCGCGGACATCTTCACTAAGGCTTTAAGTGGAACAAGGTTTGAAGATCTAAGGAAGAAGCTTGGAGTGAAGCCGAGATTTGATTAAGGGGGAGTGTTGAACTATAATCAAAATCTCGTATAAGTTAGTTATATTCACATTAGTTAGTTACTTGATCAAGAGGCACAAATACTCTGTTTTAAGGTTGTGTCTTTTAGATTAAGAGTTGTGTTCTTTCATTTACACATCACATCTGTTCGGTTTGTTTAAATACTCTAGATCGTGTGATTGTTAAAAATGTTACTTGAGTTGTAATACTTTTTCTAGTTATCAATAAAGATCAAGTTACAACCATTGTTCTTACTCTGTTTTCTCATTCCTTCAAAACACCAACAAAGCATGCGTATTTGATATTGTTTTCTAAAGTCTATCTAGAAAAGAATGGTAAGCATAGTTATGATGTATTATGTATATACAAAAAAACTCCACATTAATAGCACCTGACGATAGCTCATTTTTCCCAACTGTTATTAAAGATAAGTTTATAATTTTGATTACTATATAATAGCATTTAGTAAATGCTAAGATAAAAATTTCTATGCTGAAATCTAAAATCACTTATACCGCTCAACATTTAGCCAAAATTAAAACGAAAATTTAAAATTTCACTTGTGAGTGCAAACATTTAGCCAAATATTACCCTTTTTACCTCCCACACTTAGAAAAAATCACAAAACCCATTTGTGACCTAATTTTTCTCATCTCTCCACATGAGACCCAGAGAAGAGAGATGTTGCTTGAAGACATATTCGCTCAGTTAGGAAGCCAAAATCGAGCTTTCGCAAGTAGTTTTCGTCGGAAGTTAAAGCAGCGGCCAATCTAGCGCGTTCTCAAAGCACTCGTCGGCCATGATTTTCTCCCTCGTGGGAATGAAAGCGAGAAACCCAGATTCGAATGGGTCTAGTCACGGTGAAGATGAGACAATCTAGAACGGAGAAGAAGATTGGGTGACAAAGTTTCAGAGATTGTAAAGAGGTGGTTTGTGATTTGGTCGTTACTTTTATCTTTTGCTTCTCATTTTCGTTTGATTTTGAATTGAATTTGTTGTTGGGTTTGTTTTTTTATTTGTCTTCTTCTTGATCAAATCTGGTTTGAATTGAATCAAAGGAGTTTCGATTTTGACAGAGCGAATGGAGTTGTGACGATGTTAACGTAGATGCGGAAGATGGCGGAGAAGAAGAATAAGCTCAGAGGTGGGTAAGCAGATCGGAGATAAACCCTAATCCTCATTCATGTGTTAGCATTTGACGGGTAATCAAATCTTCGGGTCTAATTTCACTCTCCATAAGCTATAATTCAAATTTGTGGTTTCTAGTTAAGTTGTGTTCGTAGTTGTGTCTCAGATTCAGCTGTGAAGAGCTAATGGACATAATTAAAGAATTTAAGCAATACATACTTGGAGAAGCAGGGTTTAAATCATTAGACGTGTTGCTGTTAATTGTGGATTGTATTCTATTAATTCTATATCTGATGGGGTTGATAATGATGACGAGTCTAATGGGCAAGAAAAGCTTGATCCTGACCCGGTTAGATTTTCTAATTTACCATGCTCAAGTTCATTTAGATGTTTATTTGAAGCCTTTTTGCTTGTTCCTATGCTGAATTGGGATTGGTATTTGCAGGGAACATATTTTGTTAATAGTAAGAATGAGAAGGAAGGTGTTTAGGAGAAGGAGCTTGTAGGGTTGCAGGAGCAGTTTAAGTTATTGACTGGTGAGAATAATTTGCAAGGTGAAGATGGAAATACTAATGTGGTGATTCTATTTCTTCTTGCCTAGGGAGTTCAAAAGTGACGTGAGTACAAGCTCTAGAATGTTTCTAACTCATGTAGAAAGAAGTTATCCAATAATACAGGTAGGTTACTCTCTAATATCGTTAAAAAGTTTGTCATTTTGATCAACTTGACATTTTTGTAAATTATATTTGTTTTCTTTTGCTATTATTAGGCAATTGAAAAGTAAATGGCTGTCTTTTCTCAAGTACCAGCAGAAAATGGAGAAGTTAATCAAGTTCAAGGTGCGTACACAACTGCAACTTTACTATGTTTTTAAAATTGAAGCAGATAAAGCTTTTTCTCTTGATTTGATGAATCAAAATCTGTTGCAGTGCAGATACGAGCCAAAACAGTTTGTGGTTTGGTCAATAATGTTAAGTTCAATTTGGGCTTTATTCTATGGATTTGCTGAAAGATTGTATAACTCAAGTAGTCTTCTTTCTTGTTTTTTTTCTTTATCCAGATTGCCTATCTCCTCAAACGTTAAAGACTACATGAATTTGGAGTTGTTTGTTCGAGGTAAAGACGAGAAGGAGATAGCTGACCCAAAACATGGAGCCAATTTATGTACTTGACTTAAGGAGGAAATGGTGTGTCATTTGCTTGTGTAAGAGTTACTTTTTGTTGTTTTCTTGATCGATGTGTTTTATTTTCTTCGAATATGATAATATCTAAGACTTTTTTTGGGTATATAGATTGACTATTTTGCAAATTAAGCAGGTTTCACCAAATGTAAATAGCTTAATACGACTGCATAAAATAAGAGTCATAACACTGAATATTATAGCATCGAAAAAACAATAGTTCATAGCACATATATATCGTCATTATTAACAATATAAAAGCGTTTTACTAATGCTATGGTAGAATAGTCTATCATAGCATACATAAAAAACGTTATCGTACGTGGGGGGTCTACCATAACAGGGGCCTAACATAGCATTTATGAAAACGCTATTGATGACATATAATAGCTCTTCTCTCATGCTAATAATGTAGATATTTCTTGTACTGATATCATACGCATGCAATTGTATTGGCAATCTTGTTCTATTAGAGTGGTTTATGGACTAGGTCCCGAGGATGTAGATTGTTAACCGAACCACTGTTAACAAATTTCTATGTCATCTTTATTGTATGCTCTTTACACTCACTATACTTTCCCATAGTACAAAAACATAAATCTAGCACACACTTAGTAATTACATTAGCCCATAACCTTTTATGCATATTTCTAAGTTGATGTCGACACTGGTTTTATTTTTGATGTAGCATGTAGGTTTTATATTATAAAAAAAAACTTTGATTTTTTTTTTTTTTTTTTTGAATGTAATGTTAAATTATATTCAAAGAAAAAATATTGTTTTTACAACTAGTGCAACGTTCGTCTGAATTTAAACCGAAAGCTGAAATTCAAAACTCAGAAAAAAAAACTTATAGTCTTGATTCAAACCACATTTGGAGCCCCTTGTCATATCTTTTGTCCCCCAACAGTTTGATGGACGAAAGTGTGTTCCGAGTGTGCTTGTCGATCCAACCTACTAATTGAACTGCCGAGTTATGATGTTCCCCATGTCGTCTACCATTCCGCTCTCGCCAAACTGTGTAGACTGTTGCTTGGAGAATGTACCGAGCCAAGAAACTCTCTATTCGGTTTTGCTGCATATTGGAGATATAAGAAATGAGTGATGGCCAATCAGTTGAGTATCTTGCCTTGAATATGTTTTTAGCTAGTGCAGCCCAAATCTCTGACCCGTAGCCACATTGAAAGAACAGATGATCCCGGGTTTCTAGATCGTTGTTGCAAAACACGCAGCCCACTGGTGAACCTGTGTTCCATTTGTCGATCTTATCCCCTGTTGTTAGCCTATTGAGGGCTGCGAGCCAGACACAGAAAGAGTATTTAGGAATCGCATGAGGGAACCAAACTCCCTTGTGCCATGTGACTTCAGTTGATGTGGTTCTGATTCTGTTCCATGTGTCTTTGGTTGAGAAGCAGTTTTTGAAAATGTCGTTCTTGCCTCTCCAGAGCACTATATCTCGATCCTCTGTCCGTTTTCCCCTTGCTACCTGAAGAGTATCTACGATGTGGTTTAGAGTTGCTGTGCGGTGTCGTCTACGTCGGCTTGTAGACCACGCCTCAGCAACAGAGAGGCTGCGATTTATTCCCAAATCGATCACTCCTCTGTCCCCCGTAACGTCCATGATTCTGCCTAATTCCGACCAGTTATCATACCAAAATGAAGTAGCTTCTCCATTTCTTACCTCCACCTTACAGAATGTTTGTGCCACAACTCTATACTTGAGCAATTTTCTCCAAATCCATGATCCCAAAACAAAGTTCTCTTTCACTGACCAGAATGATTGCTTTCTTAGAAGATGTGTTTCAGACCACTTGACCCATAGAGAGTTGCTGCGAGAGACGATACGCCAAATCAACTTCAGACAACACACCTCATTTGCTTCACGCAATGAGCGCAGCCCCAGTCCTCCCTCATTTTTTGGCTTACAAACCGCATCCCATGAGACTTTAGCCTTCTTTGGGCTAAACTCTACACCCGACCATAGAAACGCTGAACATATTTTTTCGATTTCCCGTATACATGCTCGAGGGAGCCTGAAAACTGCTAGCCAAAAATTACAAACACTCCAAATAACTGAGCTTAACAAGTTTAGCCTTCCAGCAAATGAGAGAAAGCGAAATGTCCAGGATTCAATTTTTCTTCGGATTTGCTCAATTAAAGGGAGGTAGTCCGAAGAGTTGAATCGCTTTGTAACAAGAGGAAGCCCCAAATACCTTACTGGGAGTTGACCAACTTCAAAAGGAAAACGTTGAGTGATCTCTTGATGTACTGGTTCTTGAATTCCCGCCAAAAACATGGTGGACTTTTCCATACTAATCTTTAAACCGGAACGTTTAGCAAAATCATCAAGCACCTGAACTATACCGTCAATGGATCGTACTTTGCCATCGGAGAGGATCATAAGATCATCAGCAAAGCTCAAATGAGTTAAACCAAGTGATCTACATTTCGGATGATAGCCAAATTTCCTTGCACCTGCAGCTTTATCCAGCATTTGTGATAACACCTCCATACACATAACAAATAAGTAAGGGGAAAGGGAGCAGCCCTGCCTTAAGCCTCTTGCACTTATAAAGAAACCCACTAATTCACCGTTCACCTGTACCGAGAATGAAGCCGTAGTGATGCATAGAGTAATCCAATGAATGAACTCCGATGGGAAGTTCATTGCTAGAAGGGTATTTGTAATGAAGCTCCATTGGACTCAATCAAAAGCTTTGGAAATATCAATTTTTAGAGCACAGCGACCCGAGATGGAATCCTTGTGATAATCCTTCACTAATTCTGTCGCCAACAGCACATTTTCAATCAAGAGACGATCTTTAACAAAATCCGACTGATTTCCCGCTATGAATTTTGGAAGCACCTCTTTAAGTCTATTTGCGATTATTTTTGAAATGACCTTATATAGCACATTGCAGCATGAGATAGGTATGTAATCTTTCATCTCTTTTGCTTCTTTTCTCTTAGGGATGAGGGCTAAAATCGTGGTGTTGATGCCTTTAGGTAAGAACCCTTTGGTGAAAAAAGACTGAATTGCCAAGACAAACTCATCTCCAATATCCCAAGCACTCTTATAAAATTCCGATGTGAAGCCGTCCGGGCCTGGGGATTTATCATTCGGCATCGAGAACAAGACCTTCTTTATCTCCGCAGCCGACACTAAACCAGTTAACATCTCTTTATCCGTCACTGTGCAGCGATATGGTAATAATTCTTGAAGTTTAGCCACTGTACAACCGTCAAAATCATTCGGAACTAGCTGCAAAAACTCTCTAAAAAATCGTTCAGCCTCTTTTTTAATTTCCTCTGGTTGCGCCGTCACACTACCATCTTGGCATTGAATCTCTCTTATCGCATTTTGTGCTTCTCGAGTTGAAACAGCTATATGGAAAGCTTTATTGTTCCTATCCCCTATCATCAACCAATGCAGTTTCGACTTTTGTTCAAGTACTTCTCTTCCAATGCAGCCACTTGAACCCATTTGTCATAAGCTTCATTTTCTTCTTGCAGAGATTGCGGTGAAGGATTAGTGAGGTTTATTTCTTGCTTCTGGCATAAGATATCATACGCCTCTTTTGTTTTTTTAACTAGGTTACCTATTCTCTCCTTTGCCAAATTTCTTAAGCTAGGCTTTAGTCCCTTGAGTTTCTTTGAAAACCGGAATAGAGATGACATAGACACAGAGCCGTAGCTGGATAGAAGCAAGAGAAGCGGGAGCTGCGGCCCTCCGAGAAGTTATTAATATTTTCGGCCCTCAAATACCAATGTGTTTTGGTAGCCTAGTGGTATTATGTCATACACCACATATCTTAGGTCATGAGTTCGAATCACCTGAAGCGTGAGAGAAGGTTTTTTTTTGTTTTTTGTTTTTTTTTATGGTTAAATTTTTTTATAAGTAGTATACACTTTTCTAGAGTGGCCCTTTTTTTTTCCCGCGGGCGGCCCTCATAATCGTTGCTACGGCTCTGCATAGACATAAAGAGAGGTTTTGTCTCTTGTCAGTAGCCCTCCACCATTGGTTTAAACTGCTCCATTTCAGTAAGAACGTTGACAAATTTGAAAGGTTTTTTCCCTTTTACCACACCACCAGCCCCAATATTCAGATTGATCCTACAACGCAAGTGATCAGAGCATCCTCCGGCTTCAAAAACACTATACGCCTGCGGATAAGACTGAAGCCAATCATCATTAACCAATACTCTGTCTAATTTCTTGGCAATTAGATCATTTTCTCTCTTATTCGACCAAGTAAACAGCGGACCATGAAACGCCAAATCTGTAAATGAACAATAATTTGTCATTGCTTGGAAGTCCCGCATACCCGGAGTTACTACCGGATTATCATCTGATTTTGAATGTTCTTCCAAGTCCAAAGTTTCATTAAAGCCCCAAAAATTATCCAAGGTTTACTACGGATGATAGGAGAGTCAAAATGAGCTTTCAAATCATTCCATAGCTCCTTCCTTTCCTCCATGAAATTTGATGCATAGATGAAAGAACAAAAGAACTCATCATCATGGTTTTCCAATTTCACCGAACATGTAATGAGTTGACCACTTTTGAAAAAAGGGGTTAGTCTCACACTTTTCTTCCAGACCACCCAAAGGCGACCTCGCCGATTATACTCGTAGTTTGTCATTACAGACCAATCTTGAAATAGCTTACCACTCAACCTCTGCGATTTATTCTCCTTAACCCTTGTCTTTATCAAACAACCGAACTGAAAACTCTGTTCTGCTATCCACTTCTTTATTACGGAATGCTTTTCTGATTTGTTTAATCCACGTACATTCCAAAAGAAACCCGACATTAATGATGTTTGGGGAGGTTCTTCTTTCTCTGATCCCGAGGGGGGTCCCTAGAAGATTGAGTAGAAGAAATTGAGATTGTTTTGTGAGCTGTTTTTGACTCACGTGGAAGAGATTTTCGTAGAGGCAACTCTGCTTTTCGAGTCTTGACTACTTCCAGGTCATGAGTAGCTTTATGTAGCACCTCAGTTGCTGGCTCCTGCGGCTCATCGTCTTTTAAAGAGTTACTTCCTCCTTCCAACTCGTCTTCTCCACTAAGAGCAGAGTACGTGTTTGAAAGCAGAGAGACCTCACCAAAATTAAGTTTATTTACTCGTTTATGTGGACTGTGTCCACGTCTGGATGGAGTGATCCAACCTTGGTTTGATTCTTCTTCAACATTTGCAGCCTTCCCATTTGCATAATTGCTAATTAAGATTGCAGTAGAATTTTTCTCAGTCTCTAGCCTTGCAGCCTTCTCATTTGATGTCTTACTTGTGTTTGCCTCTTGAGCGGGAGTGTGTTGAGATTTCTTTGTTTCAACCGCAGGGGATGCCAAAACTGAAACCTCCTGCACAACCTTTCGTTCAGCCGAGAGACATGTATTTAGAAGGTGTCCCCATTTTTTACAACAGCTACATCTCGGTGGTAACCAGGGATATGCGTACTGAACCACTGCGTCAAGCTCTCCTTCTTCTTCCCCTGTGAAAACATACTCTTTTGGCAGATCCTTGGTCAAATCCGCTTCTACCAGAATCTGAGCTTCCTCAAAACTCACACAAGCTTCTGTTTTAGGATGCAATCTTTTAGGCTTACCCACTGCACTTGCCAAGAATTCAAGACCCTTATCGGTGAACAGAGTTAACGGCACGTTTGTTAATGTAATCCACAAGGGAATCGACTTCATGGCAGGCTGCTTTTCCTCTTCGTACGGTGTCCATTTGGAGATGATCATAGGGATATCCATGATATTCCACATACCTCGGTTTAAAACTCTATGTCGCATACCTTCATTTCCAATGCGAAATTTGACTGTTGTTTCATCTACTTCAAAAACATCAATCAGTGATGATCTATCACCCAACCTCCAAATTTTATTCACTATCATGTGTATCTTACCCACATGTGGTGCTTTCGTGTTAAGGAATCTCCCCATCAAGAAATCTTCCCATAAAGGCTTTGCCCCTGCAAACACTCCTTTGGAACCACAACTTTTTCTTTTCCATCAACCTCTGACACTACAAACTTCTGCTTGGTAAAGACATGTTTCTGAGCAGCCTGAGCATACGATTTCTTTGCTGGTGGCCTGGAGACCCCAGGATTCATGGTTGAAAGCTTCTGACATGATCCATCCGACTGCGCAGGACTGTTCTCCTTTGAAACATCCACTGAACTTTCTGCTACCTTAGACTTTGATCCTTGTTTCTCCTCTGTTAACTCCTTCTGACTTGTACCATCCACTAGAGGGAGGTTCAGACTGTTTTCCAGTATCCGAACGTCCCCAGATCCGGCCGGAGAAGCCGGCGGCGGCTCCATTCGTGCAGAGAAAGCAAAAGACCCTAGGTCGCCTCTGTTTTCGCCTGCCACGTCAGCAGAGAAAATCGAAAAAAGAATTAGGACAAAAATATTATAACGTTGATTTTATCATATCATCTACCAACGGGATTAAACTAATGATGATCTATCAATCAAAAATCTATTACCAACAATACATCTAATTATGATGGACGATTTTACATGTGACTTTTAAACATACAATTTTTCTTGCAACATACGGATTCACCACATATGGTTTTATTTGCAATTACAAAATACCCACGATATACTACTTTATCTGTAATACACGAGAGACTACGAGATACATCTCCTATAACCATGACAAGCAATCAATGATATACAAAATTTCATGTATAGAAGTGATTATAAGTAGATGGAGAAGGATAATAAACTCTCTCTTTCATTTTCTTTAATCAGTATGTGTGCAAGAGAGAGAATATTGAGGAAAAGCTCCATAGCCGATGTTTTTTTATTAGTAGTCTTATTCAGTCTAAACATAAATAAACTTTACAATGGATTTAGATGTTGACAAAACATCTTTTCATTCGTTTTGTGTTGTCTTCTTTCCTCATCATTGAAAATTGTAATTCAAAGCAAAAAGTTTGACTGATATGATATCCAATTGGAGGTTGTTGGAAATTAAACCGTTTTTTAGGTTATCAATGGAACAAGCTGATAATTCTAGTTGAGATATAGACGATTTATTTACTACTATCCAAACTGTATATTAACGATTAGTACCTCGAAGTTACCCGATGAACTGAGGTCTGGATTTCCCACATATCCAACATTCTTTCAAGTATACCAACAATTAAATGGGATCTAGGTTAATTTGCTTCTAGGTCTTTCCTTCCATTTTCCTTATGTTTTTTTTTTTGTGTGCGTCTTTCCTCTGTACTTTCAAAGAAACCTTATGAGGAAGTATTAACTTAGAATACATCCTCTTTTCTTTAAACTCAACTTATCTTGAGTAAACTTCATTTGTAACTTTTATGTTTCTCGACCACTCTCTCAGAGGCCATACATAGCATGCATTTGGAACTAGCTTGTGACCGAATGGACTTTTTGTGGATAAGACGTGGGCTTTAGGTGTTTTGCTCAAGCCCCACTTAACTAAACTGATAATCCAGCTCACTTGAATTTGGCCTATGTGACCCATTCAACAGCTTCTTAACTTATTTCATGCCAGTATTTGTCACTAACTCTATGCTGATAATTAAGCCTATTCATTTATGGATAGAATAAACTAATTGCCTTAATCTCAATAATTGTTAGTTTACTTATTCTATGGTGACAGAAATTCACTCATCAATAAAACGACAGTACTGTCTAAAATTTGACTTCCAACAAAATACATAAAGAATTTTATTAGAAAAAACAAAATCTAAAGATTATAATTGTTTATTATTATTATGAAAAAATACGTTCCAACAAAAAACTTTGGAAACTACCAGTCTTCTAAAATAAATAAATCCCTAAAAGAAAACATCTAAAAGTTCAGTTTTGCTTCAAAAGTTTGACCGAACCCCCAACTCGCAGGCGCAACATTAAAGAACGTCATGCTCCTACCATCACTGGTCCGAACCACAAACGAGAGCCTTTGTCCAACCAAATCCACACCAGTATTCCAAATTTGCCCCCAATTCCTCTTCATAACGATCCAATTACTCTTATGCCCTCTAATTTCAACGTTATTCACATCTCCTGCCCCTCCAACGTTATACACCAAAACCATGATAAAATAAGGATTGCCCTTAATCTCAAACCTCACACCACCTCTCTTATGACACACCACTCGCCTGAACTTCACCGGAACTATCCCTCCTTTGTACTCAGCCATCGAAGTGAACATTTTCATCGATAGATCAAAGTGCTTGTTAGGAGGGTTGCACCAATGGTATTGAACCGGTTCGTCATAATTTGGTGGGCAGAAATTAGTGGCTGTGATTTTGATTGAACCAGCGTTTGGTTTGCACCATTTAGAGTTCACACACATGAGCTCGAAACAAGCACCACAAGTTTGGCCATTGTTGAAAAGAGCCGTGCTTAGCGCCGCCGTCTCTAAGCCGTAACCTTCTTTGAATAGATCCCCGTAACCACATGCTCCTTCTGTCACACCAAATAGTATTAAAATAAAATATACATACGATTGATTTATACTTAAAGAAAAATAGATGTTCAAAAAAAAAAAGTCATAAAGAAATCATTAACAAAATGAAATTAAAAAAGACATTATAATCAAATAATAAAAATACTAACGCATGGTTTCTCCGCCGCTCATATCGCCATAAAACGTCGCATGTGCGTCATACCACGAAGGGTCGATATTAGTAAGACCGACATGAGCCAAGCCAAGGTTAGCCACCGAGACAAGAATCGTCAGTAACACAACAAAAGTCATTGATCGGTTCATGTTTTTTCTTTTTTTCTCTCCGAGTAAATTGTAACAATTTTACTGAAAAAGAAGAATCATTTATTTATAGAAGAATATGGAACGTTGGTGTTATGGTTTTTGTAAGATTTTTAGTTTAAGGGAATTATGAGAATCAGCAGAAAATATTTTGCCTTATTAAGCCTTGAGATTGATTGCGGAATTTTAGTGTCCGGGCATTAACTATTAGAAATTTATAATCGAATAAAGATTGGATTTGCATATTCGCTGTATTTATTTACTTCCTTAGTGAGAACGAGAGATTGATACGTTTATTATCAAAATTGTCAATGTAGAGATATGATATCGATGTGAATTTGGAATTTCATGAAATATTTTGGGAAAGAAAAAATATGGCATTCTTCGTCTAAAACTTTTCCTATGGCCTTGGGCAAAAAGCCTTTTTCATAGAACTTAAAGCACGGCTCGTACAGAATCGTACAATAGTCAACCAATCTTTCGTACAAGAAATCCTAATTTTGGAAGGCCTTCGATACTGAATTTTGTCCGTTTGAATGGCTGCAAAAAAAAAATAATAATAAAAAAATTGTCCGTTTATTTAATGTTTTTTTCCAATAAATTAGTAGATAGTTTTACAAAAAAAATAAAGTTCAGTTAGTATTGTTTCAAAAAAATATACAGTATCTCCTATATATTAATAGAGAAACATTTTTTTAAAAAAACTTACCATCATGTGTTATTAACAAGATTGCCACGCTGATGTGTCGCTCTCACAATGATTTGGTTTTTATTTAGATAATTACCCAAGATTTATTAGACTATTTGCAGAATTTGCCATTAGTCTCATACATCCATATATCCCACTAATAATTAAAAACATACACTTTTTGTTTACCTTATATTACTATATTTTTCTTTATATACATTTATATAAATTTTCTTTAGCGGATGGGTAAACAATCTTTTTATTTATATTTATATTTATATTTAAATGATAAAATATATATATTTGGTTCAAGAATCTCAAATTCAAAACTACAAAATCTTTACATCTTTCATAAATTTTTTACTTAAATAAATAAGATAATCTCCTATCTATATATGTTACGAATACTTAAAATCCTATTTTTTTGAGGAGTTCTAACTTTTCGAAGAAAATATTATAACCACATTTGTATATAAACCAAAATCTGGCCACATTATAATCATTTCGTAAATAATCCATTCATAATCTAAGAATCTTAGATTTGGAACACTACAAAATCTTAGCTTGGAAACTATCAAATCTCATCTTTGCTAAATTTGGATTTCTTATACTTATTAAAAGAAAAAATTTCTTTTTATACTACAAAATCTCGAAATCTTTAACACATACGGAAAGACATATTGCCATAAATGGTAACATTTTGTCAATATTTTTTTATCACGTTAAAGCTTTATTCAAGGTTCAAATATTTCACGGGTAAAACACATTCTTATATGAAATAGTCCCAAATTTGAATAAAACAAAAAAAATTGTAACATGTTTTGTTTTACACAAACTGATCTTAGATCCCGGATAATAATTTTATTTATAATAATTTTACTTGAATTACTTCATCCCGCACATCGTGCGGGTTGTTATCTAGTTATGTTGTCATTCGTGAATGGGCGAGAGATTAATTATGATCCAAAAATATAAATAAATTACACAAAATTATATATTTTGGTATAGTTTAATACTCCCTCCGTTTCACAAAGAGTGTCATTTTAAGGTTTTAATTTTGTTTCACAAAGAATATCGTTTTATGTTTTCAATGTAGTTTTTAAGATTAATTCTCTTTTTTATCCTTATTATTTGAGCTTATTAATTATAGAGAGGGTATTATCTAGTTTATTAATAAGAGGTAAAAATAACATTTGTTTAGTTTTCTTAATTTGTGTGAAAAATGGTAGAATGACACTCTTTGTGAAACAGAGGGAGTACATGTATTTATCATTGTAAAATATTTACATTAACATAAAAATTTGTATAGTTAAAAAAATATGGTTTTAAATTGAGACCATAAAACTAAGTTAATAGTTTATAGATAATATATATATATATATAAATTAATCGAATGATTTTGTTTTGGTATATATCATATTATAGAAATATAAACACGTTTCATGATAGCTCAACATTTTAATTGACAGATTTGAAGTCTCAATTTTTTTTTTCAAGTGTAACAAACATTTTACATGTATTGTTCTATTACAAAGTTTTCAAAAAAATTAAGAAGTAACCATTAACCCGCACTCTAGTGTAACTGTGTAACTGCTTTTAAGATATATGAAATGAAGTTTAATAAATTTGTTATGAGCAGATGAATGCATCTTACATGAGAAGTGATTGTGATCTAACTTGTATATATTCACAAGTCAACCAAGAACTAGCACCACCTTATTCGGAATCAAGTCTCATTTCCAACAATTAACTTTAACGACGTAGCAAAATAAAAGTGTGTTGATCTCCCCTCCTTTTACCCTATAGATTTATAGATTAAATATTGAAATTTAGCTAATCAATTAGAAATTATAATCAGAAAGTTAGCTACCTATAAGTTTATAGATTAAATATTGAAACCTTTTTTTAGAAAAATTACAGATAGAAATCCTTGATTCATAAATTATACGAAATCTTAGTATACTTGAATATACGAACCTATAATCAAACAAATCTCATACTAAGTGTTAAGTGAGTTGATTCCCCGTGAACGTCTTCCTTCACTTATGAAGAAAATTATCTTACCCCTAAATTGTTCTCTTCCTTAATTTGACCTAAAAAGAAACGATGAAGACAATTTTAAAAGACACAACTTAACTTTCTCCAATCTTCTTTGTGGTCTTGGTTTTATTAGGTTTATGTTTTAAATCACCACAAAAAAGAGAGTTTTACATCACCATATACGTCACGTGTGATGAATTGTATTAGGGCATGAAGAATGAATTTTTACAAACTCATGCAATCATAAATCTATATATAATAGCAATTTAATAAATACCATTTGCACATCTTAACTGTTGCGTCTTTTTATCGCAACCTTTCGTTTAAATCGGTTATTTTTTTACGGTTATGTCTTTTTATTGAATTTTCTCTTTGAATTTTTGTTGAATTATTTACGGTTATATTTGTTCAATTACAGTTGTATCTTTTCAGTTTACAGTTATATCTTTATAGTTGCATTTATTCATTTAAAGTTATTTCTTTCCATTATATAATTTCATTGCATTTTTTGTATAGTTAGTAATACTACGAAGATTTTTTACATCAACCATTAGACTACATATCAAATTGGTTTTATTAACCAAAATAACAACCTCAATAAATGCATTTTGCACTTTTGAACGGTTATGTCTCTTTATCGTAACTTTTCGTTAAAATATTAACGGTTATTTTTTTGGGTGTATTTTTTATCGCAACTCTTCATTGAAATATTGACGGTTTTTTTCGGTTGTGTCTTTTATTGCAACTTTCCGTTAAAATATTGGTTGTTATTTTATTTGTTTGTGTCCTTTTATCGCAGCTTTCCGTTAAAATATTGACGGTTATTTTTTCTCGGTTGTGTCTTTTTATAGCAACTTTCCGTTAAAATATTGAGGGTTAATTTTTTAGTTGACGGTTATTTTTCGGTTGTGTCTTTTTCTCGCAACTTTTCGTTAAAATATTAACGGTTATTTTTTTCCAACTTTCCGTTAAAATATTGACGGTTACTTTTTTCGTTTCTGTTTTTTATCATAACTTTTTGTTAAAATATTGACGATATTTATTTCTCGATTGTGTTTTTTTTTGTCTGTTAAAATATTGACGGTTATTTTTTTCTCGGTTGTATCTTTTTATCGCAATTTTTGCTAAAATATTGACAGTTATTTGTTCTCGGTTGTATCTTTTTATCGCAACTCTTCGTTAAAATATTAACGGTTACTTTTTTCGTTAACAGTTATTTTTTCGGTTGTGTCTTTTTATCTTAACTTTCCGTTAAAATATTACGGTCATTTTTTTGTTTGTGTCTTTCTATCACAACTTTCCGTTAAAAGTTTGACGGTTATTTTTTTTCGGTTGTGTCTTTTTATCGCAACTCTTAGTTAAAATATTGACGGTTTTTTTTTTCGTTGACGATTATTTTTTTGGTTGTGTCTTTTTATCGCAACTTTCCGTTAAAATATTAACATTACTTTTCACGTTTGTGTCTTTTTATCGCAACTTTTCTATAAAATATTAACGGTTATTTTTTCTCGGTTGTATCTTTTTGTCCTAGCTCTTTGTTAAAATATTTACGGTTACAATTTTTCACTTATGGTTATTTTTTCGGTTATGTCTTTTTATCGTAACTTTCAGTTAATATATTGACCGTTTCTTTTTTTGTTTTTGTCTTTTTACCGTATCTTTCCGTTAAAATTAAATATCGATGGTTTCTTTTTCTCGGTTGTGTCTTTCTATCGCAACTTTCCGTTAAAATATTGACGGTTATTTTTCTCGGTTGTGTCTTTTTATCGCAACTCTTCGTTAAAATATTGACGGTTATTTTTTTCCGTTTGTGTCTTTTTATCGCAATTTTTCGTTTAAATATTGAGTGTTATTTTTTCTCGGTTGTATCTCTTTATCGCAACTCTTCGTTAAAATATTTACGATTACATTTTTCGTTGACAGTTATTTTTTCTGATGTGTCTTTTTATCATAACTTTTCGTAAAAATGTTGACATTTACTTATTTTGTTGTGTCTTTTTATCGCAACTTTTCGTTAAAATATTGACGGTTATTTTTTCTCAGTTGTGTTTTTTTATCGCAACTTTCCGTTAAAATATCGACGGTTATTTTTTCTCGGTTATGTCTTTTTATCGCAACTCTTTGTTAAAATATTGACGGTTACTTTTTGTGTTGACGGTTATTTTTCTGGTTGTGTTTTTATATCTTTTTGGTTTTGACCCGCTAGAATTTTTTCTCTCTATATTATAACTCTTCGTTAGTTATTTGTCACTTATAAATAATTTTATATTCACAAAAAATGTTTCAAAATTGTTTTTTAATCATAATTTTGTTTTTTACATTTTTATTCATAAATATTTTTTAATATATTTAGAAAATATTTATGATATAACTTTAAGACATAGTTAATTTTATATAATAATTCAATTATTTGAATATATTATAATAATAATTTAATACATAAATGTAATAAAATATATTTGTTGAAAATGAGTTCCCCGCGATATCGCGGGGTTCATAACCTAGTAATAATAATAAAATCATAAATAAATATGTTATTCCTTACAGTTTTTTATTTGATGTTTAGTATTTTTACATACCGATTAAGGAATTATTTAATATTTTTTATTTTTAAATTAAAATATTATATATTATCTACCTAAACACGATTTAATCAGTAGTAAAACAATATCCAGAATAGAAATCACCAAAATTAACTAATTTTGAATTGAACGTTGAATACATCATCTAATTTAAAATAAAAAAATTTCTCCTACAACACTAAAAAAGAAACGGAGTATTTACTTCAGAATAAAATCAAAATAAGGCTATTTGAACAAA